GATGCGTCGCATGTGGATTTCTTCCTTTAGAATCAGCTGACAGGTCCCATAGCCTATCCCAACAATGTCGCACAAGTCGTTGATGGTACGACGTCGATCTTCGTAACTTTTTCGGGCGTTGTGCTCGAAGATGGTCGTCCAGAACGCTCGTCATCATCGACAGAGGTTCGGCCGGCCCTTTTTAAAACGTGAATGCCACACAAAAGTTTGCGGACTCCCCAAATGTTTGCTTTAGCATTTCATAGGTTTCCTTAGCCGTTTTGGCGAGTCTTTGGCAAAATTTGATGCACACGCCATTCCTGAAATCGCAGGAGGGTCGGTGTAATGCACTACCAAAACGCCCGTAACTAAGAAACAAATGCTAATTCGATGATGCCGGCTGGCACACTGATTCACTATGAATGTAGGCCGCACCCCCTAGCGGCAGAAGCTCGTACTACATCTGGTTCGCCCTCTATTGACACAGTCTTGAAACTTTCCGATCGCACCTCGTATATGTTTTAAAACTTCTATGTGGAACTCATACCAGAAATGGATATTGAAGCAAGCAGATCATCATATTTAAAACAAAACATCTAACTGTTGTTTCTCTGTAAATCTCATCAAGTCCAGTAACTTGTCGTTAACAAGCAATATGTAAATCTCAGTATTATCGTTCATATTATTACCATATTATGTCACATTAGTGAGGAGAGAACTGTGAGGGTGGCGGTTACTTACTCTATTTTTCCATTATTTGTTGTTTGCTGACATTCTAACTTTTGTGTTCAAATCTGACTGCAGACAAATAGTTTTATTTGTTAAACCTTAGAAGCATTTTTGTTTTTGTAAAATACTCAAATTACTTATACAAAATACGATTCAATATATTTGCCCTTAAAGTGACTCGTTTTAAGGCCTGACATCTGTAATTAGATATCCAGAATCTGTGAGCCTCAACCATGGATCTCATTTGTCGGCATGGACTCAATTATAAATCAAACATTACACTGAGATCAACCAACGTCACCGTTAACCAAATTTAATTAAATTCATCGTGGGTTACATTTGTGATTTCTGACTTGTTATTTGAATTGCACATCAGTAGACCTATGGTTGTTGATGTAAATGAGAAACACAAATGATTTTGTATAGCATACTTTGAGTCACCCAGTGTATTTTGTCCATTTATGTTCGCCAGTCAATCTTCTATAATATAGCTGACATATCAGGTTTGAACCATTACCAACAAAAATTCTGTCCATGAACAAGTCATCACTCTTGTTGAAGATGGCAGGCTAAGTGCTAGTGCTAGAGGTGGACAGTATAGTGGACCAGGGCGCACAGCAAGAGCATGAGTACAGAAATATCATGTAGATGGACAACTATAAAGATGTCGAGGAACCGGGTAATGGCGCATTCCAGCGTAGCTCAGGAAGCTGTGTTAGCAGCCGAAGCTCAAAGGAACCTTTTCGCCAGTGCAAGCACGTTTGAGGCTGCTACCGGCATTGCCGGAGAGAACGGCGTAGCTGGTTGCTTTGAGACTAAAATACACTGGTCAGTGAAGGCTGTAATTAGCGATGAACATAAACTAAACCGCCCAGCATTTGCCGAAGGCAGCGTGGATCACCAGTCGGATGTCATTTTCTCTGATAACTCTACATTCAGCTCTGCAAATGATGGGCCGGTTCTAGTTTACGGACCATGAAGGAAACCTGTCCTGACCTCCCTCTAAGAAAAAGAGATGATCTTTTGACCCTTGTCTTAGCAACTTCAGATGAAGTTGCTTCACCTCAGCATTATGTGCAATCTATAACTGAGTCCACGTGAAGATGAATGAGATCCATGGTTGGGGCTCAGAGATTCTGAACATCTTACTGAAAATGTCAGCTCTTAAAAGAATCCTGTACAAGGGCCAGAATATCAAAGTATATTTTGAGTCTGTAGCACGTAGATGAATAATATACAAGAGAAAAATTCCAACAATTATTTTTACAAATACAACACAATCATTAAAAGAAAAAATGCAGACATCAGGATCAAAATTCATACACGTAATCTCCATTCCAACAATAACTCTCTTCCCTAGAGAACTGACTATGACGGACCATGGACGACTGAGCAGAGACAGACAGAAACATAAATTCTCATTTTTCCTAAAATAAGCAGACATATTGGTGTCTTTGTTTAAAGGCCATCAGGAATAAGTCATCGTAGTTAATGGAAGATACAAAAAAAAGTCACATACAAACAAATACAAAAAGATTACGAATGATCGGAGTTATGATGTCAGCTGTACATTTACGTTACTTCTGGTTTGGCACTTAAAAAAATTCATGCGCTTGGTTTCTATTGTACAGAGTATACGAGTATAATCAACAGTGTACAACGCAAAAGGCACCTTGCTGAACCAAGAGACAGACCACATAATTGTGATATTCCTAGACACTTTTCAGGAACTTGACTGTTCTACTACTACTACTACATACTAAGCATTACATTCTTCTGGTATGGCAACTCTGCACCTATTGTCTACTCTTCTTTGAAAAACTGAACACCTTAAAAAGTAAGTTTACAACTTTTTTTCAGAATCAGACTCCAATTTTAGAAATACAATGTTATTAGTGTTACTAAAATATCAACCTGAATCACTTCATGTAAACAGACATAATAAATGTTTGTGAAATAAGATGTGAACGCCATGAGAGATAGTGGACGAATATGATCAGTAAATCTGACTGAATTGATTCACACCACACGGAGTCCTTGCTACACCGCACCTTGTTTAAATCTTCAACAGACCTTTTTTATATTCACCCTTACCGCATATTGTCCCCTTGAATGATCAAATAAATCAATAATATCTTCATTGTACAGTTCCATAAACTGTGCTACTATTTTGAATTCTGGCGCTGGCTGACCAGCTTCCTGAGCCTGGTTTGCGCGGTTCTGAATTCCATGGAAGAGGTGACGTATTGCCCGTGGGACGATTCCAATCTGCTCCGACTCGACTTCCACATCAAATCCGGTGCCCATAGTATATGTTTTTCCAGATCCTGTCTGCAAAACAAATATAAAACAAACATATGAGATCTGAGGTTTTCGTGGTAGTGAGGATGATAACGTTCTTCTGAATTTTGGCACAATGTAGGCTCGGTGCCAAAACAAAGAAAAACAACGTAATAAAACAAACATATCACAACATGATGATGACATTCTTCTGGGTTGTTGTGCTGTGAATTCTGGTAGAAGACATCTATGCTACCTCCACTATCATCGCCCTGATGATGAAGGCAGAAAGGACCTCTGAAATGTTAGTAAACTACCAAATTACACGGCGCAACAACCCAGAAGGCAGCCGTCTTCAGACTCCCCGCAGCAGAAACCTCAAATCCTACATATCATAACATACTAATGACAAAACATGTTTTTCACAGAAGATACTGTTCAAAACCAAGAATTCAACCAGAATAATATTTTGATTGTGTCCTTGGACGCAACACCATGTAGTCTTTGAGGTGCTTCCCAGCGTTTAGAAGGAATCTACTGCCTACTTTCAATCTGATGTGGAAATGGGGTTGCTATTTGGACATAACCCTGATAAGGTAGGCATCACTCAGAAAAACAAGAATGCGTGAACTGCAGCAGAAGACACGTAGCTATTACTAACAAGATGCAGACACAACAAACAAGGCTCTGACACACACACAGGAGGCCCATGAGTTACAAATGCAGAATGTGTGGTGTAGCCAGATTTATGTATGACGCAGAGTCCATGAGGATAAAGAAAACGAATTCTGAAATGTAGGTTACTTTAATCTAAAGTGATAAACACAGTCTGTGAAGAATTTCCCAAAAAATGCTTTCATAATAACAAATTCTCACCTGTCCATATGCCAAAACAGTTGCATTGTAACCTTCGAGAGATCCGTTCACAAGAGCTTCTACACAGGTTGTGTACACATCCTCTTGCTGGACATTCGTGTCAAAGACATAATCATATGTGAAGGCCTTGTCTGAGCCCAGCGTCACCTGGGGTTTGCCTGGCGTAACACTGGTACAAATCCGACACATGTCGATGAGTTCCCGTGCTATCTGCGGTCTGATCCTGTAACAATGAACAGATGAATTTCGTTTCAACTACTGAAGTTCTGAAATTTAAAATAATGACGATGTGACACATAATATTATTTCTGGTACTTGTGGGTTATTGGGACACATCGCTTTAAAAATAGGTTAGGTTAGTTGTAATTTATTTAAATAAAATATAATAACTTTCAAGTATGTGTCATTTATCCACACACATTAACCTAACCTAACCTAACCTACTTTTAAAGTGATGTGTGCTGATAACTCACAAGTACCTTATTTTTGAACACAGTTGCTTAAAGGAGTAGAAAAGAAAATTATGGAGGAGGTAAGATTTAAAGTCTGAAAAAAAACTTTGTTGTTCTCCAATCGGTTTAGAAAAATGAATAACATACATTCACCATTTCAATTTATAGGCTGTATAAAATCAGAGAGGTTGTGTAAGTTGTGTATGTAATTCTGAGAAACATTCTGGTTTCAAAACCAGGAAAGCACCCTGATGAAGGATTTATCAGACTTCTAATTGTTTTATCCAAAACTATTACTGCACACAACTAAATGTGGGAAAATCCGACAAATACTTCCATTTCTTATCAGTCCATTGCCCCAAGGCTTATCATATGCCTGATCATGCATTACACATTACTCATTACCACACGAAAGCTTTATTCCCTGGAATTGTAGTAGGAATAGTTCCTTCTGCTGTGGAGGGGCAGATAGAGAAAACGTATTATGGCCGTGTTTAAGGTCAATAATCATGAATGAAACGCATTTCGGATACACCCACAATTTCTGGCTTTCGCAGCCGTTCATTTCCAACACTGATCCTGTTTTTGTGATGGCACAGTATAGAACTGGGTTGTATCGCCGACGTTTCGGATATCTGTAATCCTTCCATACGCAAACCCAAACATGTACTTCGCCTATAAGATTGAGATGTCCGAAGCCTCGGCGATACTCAGCCCGTCATTGCACCGTGTCGACACGTGATAAAAACTGGATCGACTTTATTTTTCTGTTACAATACAACTTATATATTTTCGTGGAATATCGAACGATTGTTTGTTTGGTTTGGGGTGGCAGACGCTGCGGGGTGAGTGAGGTTATCCCAAAATCGCCAGCGTGCACCCCGTGTCAGCCTCCCTGCCTGGCCGGTTGATTCCGGAGCTTCCGCCCTCCCACGCAAACAAAGGGCTCTTTCTGGAGCCAGTCATCTGGACGGCAAAAACGTTAGCACACTTATGAGGCAGGAAGTGCCGACTAACTGGCAATGGGAAGTGTTAGTTAGTTGCTGGCCCCACGCGCAAGTGGGCTGCGTCGCCGGCGTTTCAAAAAATAACATGCGAAGTGCGGGATCACTGCCCTTCACACTTCCCCCTGAAGATCGGGTAAGCAGGTTCCTTCGAAATATCGGCAACAAAGACCAATTCTGCACTGTGCCAGCATCCCAAAACATGTATACACATTACAATACGGAATATTAGCCTTGTCAGTCAGCTGCTCTCTGCTGTGGACTGTACCGGGAAGGTGCCTTACACGACTAGATTCGCCAAGTGCCAATGCCGACGTATGCAATGGTTTAGTTTCTTAAAATATCTCAATTTCATTCACTGAATGCGTGCGAACAACTTTTTAGGACTCCCTGTATATGAAAATGTTTTCTTTTAGCAATTTACGGGACTACTCGCACGAAGCACGCGGAAATCAGCTGATCGCACGGCGAGGTAACGTTTCAGCACATTCTGTGTACATTGTCGAAGCATTTCACGATGACTTTTCAAAAGACGTTTATTACAAGAGATCCTGACAGAATCACGATGTGAACAATTCTCAGGGCTGGTGTTAGAAATGCCCACAGTTCGTGGTTGAAGCAACGAAACCAGAGAATATATAAAAATCCATCGGCAAATTCGACGAAACTAAACAGAAGTTATTATCTATGTATCTTAAAGAACTAAGCAGTTCACGCTCGCCTACGAATATTCTTTTTGACGATGGCTTCGATGTATCACGCGGCCATTTCACTTAGCGAAATCCACGTAAGCTAACAGAAACATCAGTTCCGTGTTTTATTTCCCGAGTGGCCTTGGCCGACAACTGAACAGCCAAGGATGTACAACTTATTTGATGATGTAATTATGAAAGTTACGTCGTAACAGAAGAGATTATGTACGATCTACGTCACCTTTCGAGCCTTAGTCCAGACGCGTGAACGGAGTCACGTTTGAAATGCATCCGTGGACAAGGCGGCTATCGCGTTCTGACCACCTTCTGGCGACATCGGAGCAGCCCCCTTCCCTGCTGTACGCCAAACTGCTCCAAAACGGAGCGTCCAGCGCATCGGAATGAACGCAATCCTTACCTACATTTTGTAATCATTCGGTGTGTCATTTATCCACACACATTAACCTAACCTAACCTAACCTACTTTTAAAGTGATGTGTGCTGATAACTCACAAGTACCTTATTTTTGAACACAGTTGCTTAAAGGAGTAGAAAAGAAAATTATGGAGGAGGTAAGATTTAAAGTCTGAAAAAAAACTTTGTTGTTCTCCAATCGGTTTAGAAAAATGAATAACATACATTCACCATTTCAATTTATAGGCTGTATAAAATCAGAGAGGTTGTGTAAGTTGTGTATGTAATTCTGAGAAACATTCTGGTTTCAAAACCAGGAAAGCACCCTGATGAAGGATTTATCAGACTTCTAATTGTTTTATCCAAAACTATTACTGCACACAACTAAATGTGGGAAAATCCGACAAATACTTCCATTTCTTATCAGTCCATTGCCCCAAGGCTTATCATATGCCTGATCATGCATTACACATTACTCATTACCACACGAAAGCTTTATTCCCTGGAATTGTAGTAGGAATAGTTCCTTCTGCTGTGGAGGGGCAGATAGAGAAAACGTATTATGGCCGTGTTTAAGGTCAATAATCATGAATGAAACGCATTTCGGATACACCCACAATTTCTGGCTTTCGCAGCCGTTCATTTCCAACACTGATCCTGTTTTTGTGATGGCACAGTATAGAACTGGGTTGTATCGCCGACGTTTCGGATATCTGTAATCCTTCCATACGCAAACCCAAACATGTACTTCGCCTATAAGATTGAGATGTCCGAAGCCTCGGCGATACTCAGCCCGTCATCGCACCGTGTCGACACGTGATAAAAACTGGATCGACTTTATTTTTCTGTTACAATACAACTTATATATTTTCGTGGAATATCGAACGATTGTTTGTTTGGTTTGGGGTGGCAGACGCTGCGGGGTGAGTGAGGTTATCCCAAAATCGCCAGCGTGCACCCCGTGTCAGCCTCCCTGCCTGGCCGGTTGATTCCGGAGCTTCCGCCCTCCCACGCAAACAAAGGGCTCTTTCTGGAGCCAGTCATCTGGACGGCAAAAACGTTAGCACACTTATGAGGCAGGAAGTGCCGACTAACTGGCAATGGGAAATGTTAGTTAGTTGCTGGCCCCACGCGCAAGTGGGCTGCGTCGCCGGCGTTTCAAAAAATAACATGCGAAGTGCGGGATCACTGCCCTTCACACTTCCCCCTGAAGATCGGGTAAGCAGGTTCCTTCGAAATATCGGCAACAAAGACCAATTCTGCACTGTGCCAGCATCCCAAAACATGTATACACATTACAATACGGAATATTAGCCTTGTCAGTCAGCTGCTCTCTGCTGTGGACTGTACCGGGAAGGTGCCTTACACGACTAGATTCGCCAAGTGCCAATGCCGACGTATGCAATGGTTTAGTTTCTTAAAATATCTCAATTTCATTCACTGAATGCGTGCGAACAACTTTTTAGGACTCCCTGTATATGAAAATGTTTTCTTTTAGCTTCCGTTGTCTGATTGCGGGGACTCGCACGAAGCACGCGGAAATCAGCTGATCGCACGGCGAGGTAACGTTTCAGCACATTCTGTGTACATTGTCGAAGCATTTCACGATGACTTTTCAAAAGACGTTTATTACAAGAGATCCTGACAGAATCACGATGTGAACAATTCTCAGGGCTGGTGTTAGAAATGCCCACAGTTCGTGGTTGAAGCAACGAAACCAGAGAACATAATCAATCCATCGGCAAATTCGACGAAACTAAACAGAAGTTATTATCTATGTATCTTAAAGAACTAAGCAGTTCACGCTCGCCTACGAATATTCTTTTTGACGATGGCTTCGATGTATCACGCGGCCATTTCACTTAGCGAAATCCACGTAAGCTAACAGAAACATCAGTTCCGTGTTTTATTTCCCGAGTGGCCTTGGCCGACAACTGAACAGCCAAGGATGTACAACTTATTTGATGATGTAATTATGAAAGTTACGTCGTAACAGAAGAGATTATGTACGATCTACGTCACCTTTCGAGCCTTAGTCCAGACGCGTGAACGGAGTCACGTTTGAAATGCATCCGTGGACAAGGCGGCTATCGCGTTCTGACCACCTTCTGGCGACATCGGAGCAGCCCCCTTACCTGCTGTACGCCAAACTGCTCCAAAACGGAGGGTCTAGCGGTTAGACCGCTGGTTGGCCTTGTAATCCTGGGGTCTCGGGTTCGCATTTATAACTTGTGTTGGGCAAGGCCTTGGTCTAGGCAACACGGAGTTTTCCTTCGTGGCATCCCAACAATTACTCCATTCACCCCCAGAAGAAGGCAATGGCAAACCACTTCTGGATCATCTGCCAAGAACGTATATGAACAGGTCCCAGTCCGAGAAGAGAAAAGGATGGAAGGATCCTGTATATATGGACCTGTCCTCAGACAGAACACTAAATAAATAAATAATAAGATATTAGCAGTGTCGTCTGGCATGTGCTATGGTTTGTCGTCGGTTCCAGATCATTCACATTTGTGATATAAAAGTTATCAGAAATTTCTACACACTGTTCTGTGGACAATGGAGGTGATCAAGGTACAAAGAACACAAGATAATAACAGAAAGAAAAAATAAAAGAGGTGGGGGGGGGAGAAAAGGTGAGCAGAGAGATTGGATTATGAG